GGTGCCTCTGCTACATCCCCTCACTGCTCGCTCTTGTGACAGGGGTTAACTGTTGCCTAGCTTTACCCCAAGGCACACATTGCGACTTCACGTTACCAAATATAAGGTGGGAAAAGCACAGACCTCGTTCCATCTGCTGAATAAACCCATAATCCCTCACTATTCCACTATTAATTCTTAATTTTACCTATCATTACACTTCCGGCAAGCAAATAAATGAAACCAAAATAACTGCTTATATCCATAAGTAATCAAAACGCATTTAGTGCTTTAGTAAATAGTTTGTTTTTCTAATTTTCCTTTAATTAGCAGAGAAAGAATTAAAATCAATTCCTCATCCAACAGATAAAAAATTAGACTCAGCTTTCACCCTTACGCATATCCAAATTTGAATGTGCACAAGAAACACAAATCCATAATTGTTCTGTAATATAATCTGTATCCAATATTAAACACATTTCTATGACATTTATCTTATCTCCCTGATCACAGCTTAATAAAATTATAATTATGACCTTTCAAAGTATTATCGCCTGGTCCACACTTAATCAGCATTCTTGGCTTGACATCTTGGCTGTTGCAGGGGTGCTGTGCTCTGTCATCTGACACAGAGTGCAGATCACATGCACTAAGAGCGAGGATGAGTCCGTGGCTGCTCACCCTTGTACCCCAACGTCCAGAGCAGTGGCTTAAAAAACAGTCATTGAATGACGAGTAAGCACATGAGGTGTTTGGTCACGTATTACATTAACTCACGTTGGCATCCATGAGTATGCGGACACACAACCAGTTCCAGAGGGAATGAGGAGATCGAGAGGGGAGGGTGGGGGCGGGGCTGCGTCAGGAATGAGCTGGAAATCAGCCTGGATCCAGTTGGCAGACAGGCTCCCTTTAACCAGAGCTATCCAGATTGACTGGAAACACAAACTCTCAAATGTCGTGGGCCAGCAGGCCCAGCTCCTTCCTACAAAGATCTAGGATATCACAGATGTTAGGCATTGGTGTCAACACAAAACACCCTTTGGGGGAACAATAAGATTTTTTCCGTGGGGTTACGTTGAGCCTTCCCCATCCTCTTTTGGAACCGAAGTGGCATTTGATGGAGAAGGATCGGAAATGCCACTCGTGGCTGATAACAGTCATGGAACCTGGAACCTTCAATGAAGGTTATGAGCAGCGGGAGACTTTCAGACAGTTTCGATGTTTCTCCTTCAGGTCTAAGGAATTGAGTGCGCTTCTGGGCAGAGAAGGCCGGGTTCCAACCCTGCAGGCAGCTGTATGGATCATGGGCAACGAGCAGAGTCGCCTTTTCTGCTGGGAACACAAGTGGCCGCTACAAATGAGGTCACCAGACCAGTGCCCAGACAGGAGAGAAGTCATGACCCTCAGATCCCAACGTTCTGCCGTTAGCTCCTGTGCGGGCAGGGGAAGGGCGAGCCGGGATGAAAGCGTGCTCTTTGCCTGTATTACCCAGTTTGGGAACTTGAAAATCTGTTTGATTTCGATTGGGAGAGAGAATAAAGCATTCGAGGCTATTTTGGTTACCCCGCAGAAATCACACTCTACACCTAACAAATTCAACCATTTTACAGAGCCGTCGTCAAGCGCGTGAGTTACGATTTTATTCATTCCGTTGATTCGGTGAGGCAGGTTCTGGCAGGGGGTTGATTTGTTGTTTAATATTTGGGGGGATTATTTTGGTATATCCGTAACGCATTTACTTAAATATTGTGTGTTAGTTGAGATGTTTTCATTTGTTTTGATAGGTACTTACAAAGGCAGTGCACAGCACTTCACACTTACACAGAGCTTTGGAGTCCGCAGCACCGTGCCGGGATTCCCGCGGGGACTTCACCGTGTGTTTGGGAAGAACAGCCCGGTTCCACCCAGAGAAAAGCCCAGAGCCCAGCTGAAGGGGTCTCCCCCAGTCCCTGGCTCGAGGCACCACGCTGAGCCTAAAGATCGTGGCTGGCAGCACAGAGCCGGGAGGACATTGATTCTCCTTGCTTGTTTTGTGGTTCTTGGGGTGTTACCATAACAGCATGGATTCTTCCCCGAGCTCAGCAGAACATATGGGAAACCTATCTTTAGCTTATCATTTCGAGCCCTTCCTCCCCCTCACCCATCTCCCCCGACAGGAGTCCTCAATATGGTACCGATTCTGTAGGTTAAAAAAAAAAAAACAAAAAAAAACGTCGAGTTGGGTGAAGCGTCCTTTTTCCCCGAGCCGCCCACGGGCCAGCAGCGACGTGAGCTGAACTCTGCCGGAGCTGCGGCTAGCTGCTAAACCGGAAAGCAGATGTCGGCCCAGTGGCTGCGTCAGCCATGGAAGGAGAAGCAGCTGCCACATCGGAACGCGGTGCATGGTGTCGCAACAGAGATGGCCGTGGCCAAAGACGGCCACGAAACCTGTGCAACGAAGAGGGGGCAAAGGCCGCCTCTGACACTGGTCGTGAATGTCAAAGTAGACCGACCGAGAATGCACTTCTCGGCCTAAAAACAGGCAGTGCTCATGGGAGTTGGTCGCCCGCAGAAATCATCACTCTGCCCTTTGGCCCGTCGTGTCCAAGGATCTTCAGATCTGGTTTTTCAGAGCATAGAGAACGCAACAGTTACGTGCGTGCCCATTACAGTCACGGCAACTGAGGTTCCCTGGCCTTGCTCTAGGATGGATACTGGCAGCATCACTGGGAATCGTTATTACAGAGCCGTCAGCTGTTCTTTTAGTGTCTAAGTCGTTTCTAGGATGATGGCACATGTCCAAGTCTAATTCATTAAAACAGAAGAAATCTATGAACACCTGCATGTAATTGATTAGTGAGTTGGGGTTTCTGTAACTGGCTGTTTATTCCTCTCTTCGAAACAACACACTAAAACAGAACCAGCAACAGCAAGTCGCTGATGCTGTGCCAAGTTATCAGTCTTTTATTTTGTAAAGTGGGTTACTATATTCGGGGCATCAACCCTGGAGCCCCCAAGACCTACCCCTCCGTTAAAGTAACTATGTCCTTTTGTTCTTGGTTCACTGGATTGAAAACCGTGAAGTGTTGAACAGTGTTGTTTATTTTTTATGTAAAAAACAATTAAGTCAAACAAGACTGCTTTTAAGGGCAAGTTATCTAATGTGTGTTTCTATAGATGATAAACACGCCCCTTGTCTTTAATCCCAAAGAGCAGAGGCTGATCTTCCCCCGTCCACACGTCCCTCTGTCACATAACCGCGGATTTGGTTCTGTATACGTTTTTGGTAATCTTTTGAATTTCATCTCCAGTAAACTGGAATTGGGGTCGCTCTTGTTGGAGATTGTTGGTGACTGGGCTGAGAGGGGCGAGTGAGGGTTTGTGAGGACACCTTGAGAGAAGAGAAGGAAACGGAAGGAAAATGGCGTTTCTGCACGTCAGAGTCGGAGGCCGCGCTTTTCCGAGAACTTAACCCCGGGCAGAGCGGGGGGCGTGGCGCCCCGTGCTGCGGACACGCGCTGGAGAAACGTGGCGGAAATTCTCACTCTCGCAAATGCTGTAATCGTCTACACAGAAAATCCAGGAGAGTCTACTGAAAAATTATTAGAACTTTATTTTTATTTTATTAGAATATGTGTTTGTTTATTAATCAGATGTTGAGCCAGGTGAAAAACACAAGGTTTACATACAGAAATCAACAGTTTTTTTATGAATCACGAAAAACCAACCTAAAAGTACAACTTAAAAAAATGACATTTAAAATTGCCACAAGAGTTCAAAACATGCAGGAATAAACATACAAAGGAAACATGTCGGACTTATGTGAAAAAAATTATAAAACTTTACTGAAGAACATAAAATAAGATTTGAATAAATGGGAAACTATACCATGGGATAAAGATGTCAATTCTCACATAGATTAATATCTAAATTTGAGGAAATTCCTATCAAATGGCCAATGGACTTATTTGACAAGCTTATTCTAGAATTCATCTACAGAAAAGAATCAACTATGAACAAGAAACTTTGTGTGTAGAATAATGTCACTCAGTTTACAGAAGGGAAATATAAATGGCCGCTGAGTGGAAAAAGATGTTCAACTTTACTAGTCATCAGAGAAATAAAAAATAAGAAAATAGCAAGATACTAATTTTTTTGTCCCTAAATATCCTTAAATATCTACAAGATAATTCAAGGGGTAGGGGCACAAACAAATGCATAGATCCCGTTGGCAGGAGTTTAATTGGTCCAGTCTTTTCCTAAGGTGATTTGGGAGTATTCATGAAAACTTTGTGCATACCACCCAATCCAGCACTAACCAGGTAACTTTTCAGAGCTTGCTCCAGAGGTGCATGTAAACACCCACCTAGAGGAAACCAATCAAGCATGTTCACGTGGCACAAGGTCTGACAGTGCCACGGTTAAGAAGCAAATCGGTCTATTCACACTGACGCTGCTGCGAGAACTTCGAGATACATTGTTAACTGTCAAAAGAAAGTTACCGAACCTAATGTGCTGCATAGTTTATGTTTCAATTCCTAACGTAGCTTTCCACATCTACGTGATTGTACAAAAGATTAACTTACTTCTGAGGACAGGACAAGGATTAGAGATGTGGCGAAATCAGTGGGGATTTTCCTTTGTATTTTTTTGAAATTGCAAAATGACAATGTAACCATATATTAATTATGTCATTTTTAAAACTCCTCCAAAAGTTCATGTGGCAAGTTTAAAATTCATTAAACGTATTTTCACTTAAAACACATTCATTCACTATGAGTGCCTTTATTTTATAAGGACTCGAATGTTTCCGTACCTTATTAAAATTATAAAAATATCTTAAAGGTGAGAGCGAAAACGATCGGTTGTGTGTCCGGTTTCTCAGTGTAGAGACGTTGATCCCTGTGTCACACGGGAGAGCTTCGTCTCGGCATTAAGACATACGCAGTCCCTAATTCTAAACAAATCCTATGTTCAATGGTAGTGCTGATACAATGAAACACTAGTAACAAAACTCA